TTGGGGGAGGGGGAAATGAGTTGCTAGTTGTAGTCATGTCAACTTGTTTTAGTCTACCCCGCCTCTTAACTTGACTAGCCTTCTAGTTGTTTATAATTAAAAATATTATATTTTTTTGTATTATATTGTTGAAGTATGCAAATATACTATAATATTATTATAAATACTAACCATTAAACTTAAATTTTAGATTATAATCAGATATTTTACCATATAAATATAGTAATTTTTTAAATATATCTAATAAATATATTAGTTAATGAATAAAACCTTGAAAAATATTGGTAGATTAGCCCTTTGGACTGTCCTTTGGCGGGGTGGGTTGGAGTTTGTAGCCTATCATGACTATGACAGGCCAACTCGTCTCGTCTCGTTTTTTGCGGGCTAGAGGTAGGGTGGGTTGATTGGTCTGTTTTGACATTCCTATTTGGCGTTGTACACTGTTGTTGTCATCGTCAACCAACAAATTTTTTATCGGTGAGACTAGGGTCCAATGTGCCTCGAGGAGAGCGACCCATCCTTGCCAAATGCATTGCCAGTCGGTCCTCCATGCGCCATTCCAAGTGTGGTATGTTTTTGGTACGTGGGTGTCACATGTCGCCTTCCAGTGGCCAAAACCAAGTTTGATCATCACTGTTCTTCTTGTTGGTGCCTTCTACTTCTAATGGTACTCTTATTTCTCTACTTTGAAATTTTTGGAGGTTGGGTCCTATGGTTCTTTCTCTTGGTTAGCTCTTCTTTCTTCTCTTCACTCCTACTATTACTAGTGTCATACTCAACGGGAAAAATTATTTATCTTGGTTTGCATTTGTGAAATTGTGGTTCCTAGGTCAAGGGTACCATGACCAATTTTGAAACTGAAGCTAGTTCCTTTTCTGATTTTTGAAAGGCCTCAGCAACAGAAGATAGATTTCCAACTATGTGCAATATTATGATAGTCTATTGAACAAAATGTTCTAGAAATTCTTAGGTCATTTAAGATATGTTCTTCTTTTTGGAAGAAAGCACAAGATATCTTTGCTAATGATATCCATCATTTCTTTGATGCAACTCAAAGGCTAGTGTTGTTGTAAAAGTGAAGAGGTTTTTAGTAGCAAACAGTTTGGAAGAGCTTAATACAAAACTTGATAAGTTTTACATGGTATTGATTTCGAAAAGTTTACATTTTGATTTTGATCATGTGCGTCATCAAATCCTTGTTGATGATCTGGTCCCTTAATGGACAACTTGGTCACTAGACTTACTCGTGTACCCAACTTGATGAAGGATGAGAGTCAGGTTAAGACTATTGAAACTTCAACAATGGTTGTTCCTTGGGGACAAGAGCGAGGACGCAATAGTTGAGGAGGACGTGGTGGTAGAAGCATATGTCCTCAATGCTCTTATTGCAAGAGAAAGGGGCACATGTAGGAAAATTATCATTCCTTGTATGGATTTCTTGACAAAGTTGTCTATTTTTCTAAATTTGCAAAATCAGACTTGAAGATTCCTGATAAAGATGATTAAGAATTTGTGAGGTTCAAATCAGAGAGGTTCAACTATTAGGGTCAATCTTCTTCAATACCATGTGTTTCAACATGTATTTCTCAATTCGTGGAAGTTTAGAATCCATGGATTCTTGATTCAACTGCCTCTGATAATTTCTTTGGTAGCAATTTTTCTTTTTCTTTCAACCTCACTTGGTTACCGTGGCTAATGGATCCAAAGTGGCATCTCAAGGAGTTGGCCAAGTCCTTTTATCACCTTCACTAAATTTAAATTTTGTTCTTTATATTCCTAATTGCCCTTATAGATTAATTTCTCTAAGTCAATTGACTCGCTCTTTGGATTGTTCTGTAATCTTTAATTTCATCTCTTTTGTTATTTAAGAACATGGTACAAGTCATCTGATTGGAGGACATGGATCACATGATCTTTATTATATAAATTCAAGCCCCTATATGTCATGTCTTGCCCGCTTCTACTCCAAAACTTTTGCATGATTGTTTGGGCCACCCAAGTTTATCAAAGTTGAAAATGATAGTTCCTAATGTCATATAAATTCAAGTTTTAGAATGTGAATCTTATCGATTAGGAAAACATGTTAGGTTTACATTTCCTAAATAGTCTGAAATTTGGAGTAATTTTCCTTTTTTTAATATTCATTTTGATATTTTGAGACCGAGTCATGTCTCTTCTTTTAGTTTTTGATATTTTGTAACATTCATTGATAAATTTTTCAAATGTACTTGGGTTTACTTAATGAAAGACATATCTGAACTCTTTTCCATGTTTGTGGCTTTTTTTAATGAGATTAAGAACCAATTTTGGAAGATATTTGAAATCCTCAGAAGTGATAATACTAAAAAATGTTTTTCTGCTGCATTTTCCTCTCTATTATCTTCTGAAGGGTTTTGTATCAATCCACATGTCCTCACACCCCACAACAGAATGATGTGGCTAAAGGAAGAATATGTACTTTATTGAGACTACATGATCTCTAATGTTGAATGTTAATGTTCCTGTCTATCATTGGGAATATGTAGTTCTCACTGCTTGTTTAGTAATTAATAAAATGCTTTCTTATTTTCTCTAGAATCAAATTCCTCGCTCTTATTTCTCCGAATGACCCTCTTTTTCATGTGTCCCCACATGTATTTGGATATACATGTTTTGTTCATAATGTCTATCTTGGTCTTGATAAACTCAGTGCAAAGGTCATTAAATGTGTTTTCTTGAGGTACTCTTGCCTTGAAAAGGGGTATAAATGTTAGTTGAGGACACACTCTTCTTCTCTTCCTCCATGGAGCATGTTCATGTTATTCAACACAATCTACTTATACCTTGTTGTGATCCACTTATAACCGTGCTCCTTCTCCATCTCAACTTACAGGTAACATTGATCCAACCCCTCTTCTCAAATATCAATGTTGGGTCCAATCTACTTCTTTACCTGTTCCTAAAGATCTTTGTGATTTAGATTTTCCTCAGTTTCCCATGTTGTGGTCTTTCCTCCTTACCCTTTACTTTTGATTCTACCTTTGGTTGGCCTATTGTTATCTGAAAAGGTACCCGTTCTACTCGTAATCCCTTTCCTATTTATACCTTTTTATGTTATTATTGTCTATATCCTTTATATTTTTCTTTTGTTCTTTCCTTGTCCACAATTTCTATACCTAATACTATTCATGAGACACTTGATCATCTTGAATGATGGTTAGCCATGATTGATTAAATGTAAGTTTTTGATACCAATGTCACCTGGGATCTTATCCCCCTTCTTCCTGATAAGAAGAATGTGGGTTGATGGGTCTATGTAGTTAGGATAGATCCTAATGGTAAAGTGGATCGTCTCAAGACTCACTTAGTGGCTAAAGGTTACACTCAAATTTATGGTCTTGATTATTGTGGTATCTTTTCTTCTATAGCTAAGATTTTCACTATTAGACTCTTTTTTGCTATGGCTGTTATTCGTCATTGGCCACTCCACCAACTTGACGTTAAAATTCTCTTTTCTCATGGTGATCTTGAGGAAGAGATTTATATGGAGCAATCTCTTGGGTTTGTTGCGCAGGGGGAGTCTTTTAATGTGTAAACTACGTCGGTCACTTTATGGTTTGAAGCAATCCCCCGAGCTTGGTTTGGTAAATTTAGTCATATTGTATAGATGTTTGACTTGAAAAGGAGTGAGGTAGATCATTCAGTATTTTATTGTAATATTTTTTCAAGAAAATATATTTATCTAATGGTTTATGTTGATGATATTGTTATTACAGACAACAATTAAGTTAAGATTAGTCAATTGATGAAACATCTATTTGGTCACTTTCAAACCAAAGATCTTGATTATTTAAAGTATTTTCTTGGTATTGAAGTGACCCAGTCAAAGAAAGGTGTGATCATTTCACAGAGAAATTATGCTCTTGATATTTTGAAGGAGACAAACTTGACAAATTGCAAATCCATTGATAGCCCAATGGATTCTAATAAAAACTAATAGCAGACAAAGGTGAAACTTTCTCAGATCCAGAGAAATATAGAAGTTAGTGGGAAAACTCATTTATCTCATTATTACCATACCAAATCTCTTTTATGCGGTTATAGTAGTTAGTAAATTCATGTAAAATTCTTATGTTGATCACGGGAATGCCTTAATTCACATTAGATTTGTAAAAGGGGCTCCATGACAACGATTGTTGTATGAAGACAAAAGGTAATACTCATATCTCAGGATATTGTGATGCACATTGTTCTGGTTGTCCCATATATAAAAAATCTACTATTTGGTATTGTGTATTTATTGGAGGGAATATGATTTATGGAAGAGTAAAAAGAAATTGTTGTTGCTCGATCTAGTGCAACAACTGAATATAGATGTATGACTTTTACTACATGTGAGTTTGTGTGGATAAAACAACTCCTTCAAAAATTGAAATTTTGTGACAATGACCAGATGAAATTGTATTGTGATAATTAGATAGCTCTGTATTGCCTCCAATCCAATGTTTCATGAGAGAACAAAACATATTGAGATTGATTGTCATTTTGTCAAAGAGAAGTTGCTGTCCGAGGAACTCTAACGAGCAACTTGCAGCCATTTTCACTAAATCTCCAAGAGGACCTAGGATTCAGTTTATTTGTTTCAAGTTTGGTGCATACAATCTATATGCCCCACCTTGAGGGGGGAGTGTTAGGATATGCTTTTACATTTTATATATCTCCCTCTCTCTCTCTCTCTCTATATATATATATATATATATATATTCCTAGGGTTTGGTTTGAGGCCCAACCACTTTTTGTATTCTCTCTCATCTATAAATATAACAATATTGGTGTCATTTGACTTAAATATTTGAACTCCAATAAGTCTAAATAAAATATATAAAATAGTGAGTTGTTCCTTAAGTTTCTTTTGATGGAGCAAATTGAGGGAGTTGCTTAAGTGACACACTAGGATCTATATTTTACATTTTCCATTGTGGGCAGCAACTCATGTGAGTTTCTCTTGTCCGAGTTGACCTATGCATGCCTCATGGTAAGAATACTTTGTTTGTCTTTTTGTTTAATGCATCTCGCAAACTTGTTACTGATAGCAAATATCATCCTTTCCGTTCCTTGAATTTTATTAAATTTCTTTCCCAAGCAACCTGGGAATGTGAGCTGGCAAATAAATTTTTATTTATTTTATTCTCTTAATAACAGCCAACTTGCTATCAATGCCAACATGAAGAATACAGATCAGCACATTATGTTACTTGGTTGGTCAGCAGATGATGACAAGAGTGAAGCTGCAGTTATTGATATTGAACGGGATAAATGGGTTCCAAGAATTGAACTTCAAGGTACTTCAAGATTGCAGACAATACTTGTAGCATGATTCACAATAAAACATTAGGTGTTCTTTGTTTTGAATCAATGTAGGTGATTCCATTTTGTGTGAAAGGTTTTATTGTTGTACTTGTAACATCTTTGGCCAGAGACTTCATTAACCTGAAAAAATGAAAATTACAAGTAGTTTTATTAAAAAAAAACACCAAAGCAAAATTGATAATGACAATTAGTGGTAAAGTACAGCATTAAATGATACCAATGCATTCCATGATAACTTCCAATAAAAGCCTTCTATCTAATGCTTTCTTAATAAGCACTGTATTGAATGGAACAAACATCATGAGATCAAAGTGATATTTACTCCATCAGTTGTTGAACTTCCCTGTAAAAAGCTAGATGTTTCACGGGAGAACCAAATACTTAACTACTCCACTGAGCATCCCATAACTTCTACCTAAGTTCTTATCGTAGCAATGCTCCTGAAAGTCGATGTAACTGTTGTTGAGTTTATATAATCCTTCACTCAACCTTTCTGGTTAGCCCCTTCATAGGTAGCTCTTTCCAGAATAGTCCACTAAGCAGTAATACGAATTGATGTGAGACATAGGCTCTCCATAATACCCAAGTTCTTATCACAAGTTTCAAATCCCTGTGCAAATCTTCTGCCAAAATCTACTTTAAAAATCATTTGCTTTGTGCCAGCTTGTCTTTCCCAAACCACGTGTTTAGCCAAAAAGTTTTCCATTGAATATTGCTTTGAGTTTTTATGCAGCTGTTGTAGGGAAGAGGTTTAGATGTTTACACTTATTATAAAAGCACAAGCTGTACTGGTGGGTTGTCAGACAGATAAATGCATTAGGCAGTGGTATTGCTTCGGACCTTTAAATGTTTACTTAGATCTTAAGTTTCAAATTCCCTGTTTCGCACTTCCCATGAATTCATGGTGTTCCTCCTACCTGAATATTTCCTTTTAGTTGGAGTCTTATTACCATTCTAACCTTTTTTAATGCATTTCGCCCATTTTCATTTGACTTTATATTATGAATGTACCATGCTTTAGGGATTTTTCATACATTTTTCTTCTTGTTTCTTCTGACATACATCACTTGGCTTAAAATTTGATATTTTCCTGGAAGGAGAAAAGCGTACCCTTGAGTTAAAGCACACCCTTGATCCTATTGCTACTCCATCTGATTCACTTGCCTTACCCATACCCTTCCCTTCCTCTACTGCTGGTCGACTAGACTAAGTCAACTTGCTTGTGGAAAGGCAGGAGCTTGGAAGCCAGGAAGAATGATCCCTTAAATTCTTTTATTCTGACTTCTGTTCATTGCACTGATTGAGTTGTCTTTCTGCTCCTTTTTTAAATATAGTAATTTTAATTTTCTGTCAAAGAATACACTAATTTCACTTCCCCCTCCTCCCCTAACCAACCAACAATATATACTACAGAGAAAGAGAGAGCTACACTACTGTGTTGATAAAAGAGCATTGCTATAAACTAAAATGGAAAAAACAAAATCGGGACACGTGATAAGGGATTGGTCCATTTTGGTGGTTGTTTTAGTACCACTTCTGAACTGACTGGCCAAAGATTAAATTTCGACTTACAATTATATTTTGGAGCGAAGGTTATGTGTTTTGGATGGGAAAACTTCCATTCTTCCATATCATTTCACCAATTATCCAAAATAAATATGGAGTGATTATTCACGTTTTGTAATATATTAAATGCATTCTTGCAAAATTATTGTTTTCAAAATATTTTCTACTTCAAAGTAATTTGAAGAATGAGCAGTAATAACCAGTAACACACTTAGCATAGCAAAGAGATACCCTTTTTTTATTGGTTTGCATTATATCGATTTATGTTAATATTTTTTTTAATTCAACTCAAAAAACTACTGAAATTTGATCAGTTTGTCACATATAATAGGTTTGATTTACTCAGAGAGAGTAGTGCTCATTATGAGTGTTGAGATAAATAAATCTTGACCATTCGATCTTGTACAAATGCTTACTATCTGGAATGGAGTAATGACTCTTTGAAATCCTCTATTAGGTCTGATCTTTCATTTGAAATTCAATTAAGATTTACACTGCTTGCTTCTCTTGGATGAATCTGGCATATGCATCCTGAAACTTCGTTATTATAAATCATGCATGCTTATATATAACAGCATCGTAATACTTATTGGCTCTTTCTCGATGTATCATCTGGATTAAGTTTCATATATACTTATGCAAGTTTGTAATTCACTTTCTCTAGAAAATGGTGATGATAATTTGCTAGTGGGACTATGCGTTGATAATGTTTCAATATATCAAAATGTTGGAGTACAACTTGGTGTGGAAGAAAGAACAGAGCTTTCACCATATTGTGTTCTTATATGCCTTACATTAGAAGGAAAACTCGTCATGTTCCATGTTGCCAGGTAAGATTTTGTGAAATTCTCTTCTATTTCCATTCACAAGTATATTATTGTTTGACTCCCCTAGATAGTAATAAGTATATTTCTATTAGGTGGTCATAGACAGTTGTATCCTGCGACAAACTTTCTATTTGTTAAGGTAGTTAGGAGTTAGTTAAAGTAGTTACATTCCTGTGAAATTCATAACCAGCTTTATTTAGCTATTTCTCATGCTTCTGTAAAGTGGCTTCTATTTTTTTTACACAGAATAAAATTCTTTGTATATTTTCTCTCAAACTTGAAGTTTTTTTTTTTTTTGGCAATACAGAGGTCTTACATAGTCTTCTCGATGTGATTCAAAATTTCCATCTTCAAAGGTTGAATCGGTTTTATCTTTAGTCTTGCAGGAAATAAAGTTTTACCTGAGATTGATTCTGCTCTGCACAGTGATGAATATACATCTGTAAACCTTCCCGAGGATAAAGGTTACACTTTTTCTCAGGGATTGCAGAAACAGGAATCGGATAAGGTGTTCTTGGTTCTTAATTTTAGAATTTTAAAAGGACGAGTTATTCTGTTAAATACTTATTGTTAGCGTCTTCAGTTAATGACATATCTAGTAAAAACATATTATGTGCAGACTTTTGAGGTTAGTGGGAATCTGGTGGCCAAGCCCTCTGACAATCCTCAACAAATAACATGTACTGATACTAAGTACACAGAAGTGAAATTAGTGGCAAATTCACGCAGTCTGAAGTCTAATGTAGATGTAGATGCCAACCAAGATACAGGTAATCACAATCCATTTCGTCCAGGTGAACAGCAAAATAACTTCGGTCAAAAGACTGCAGCCCTTGGAACTAGCATTGGTTCCTTAACAGTAAACAGTCATTCTGCTTCTCCTGGTTTGTCAAGTTATAACAATATACAAGCAACTACTGAGAAGACCAGGGAGTTGTGGACAGCAAATAGCTCAAGGGACCCGCAAAAAGCTTCTAATCTATTGCCTGGTGAAACATTTTCATTCCCAAAAAAGTCTGATGTGTCCTCAGTTTCAGCTTCAACCTACGCTGATGGTGTTGGTTTTCAAGATAAAAATTATACCATAGGTGCTTCAAATTTTCCTGGCATTGGTGGAAAACCCTTTGTCGTAAAGGATATGAATAACATATCTCCAGCCTTCAATTCCACCGGTAGGCTATTTCAGACTGGGGGACAACTATCTCCCTTAGTGTCTGGAAATACGCAACCAGTCTTGAATAGCAGCAGTTCACGTATGTCATCTGATGGTAACACTGCAGCTATAAAGTCTTCTAGAAAGTTCCTATCTTCAAATGAGCAGCATGGAACTTCATCTAAGCTTGGGATATCCAGTTCTGATTTATCCAAGCAGTTTGGCAATGTACTATTTCTGGAAATCTTTCATAGTTTCAACATATAGATGGTAGATATTGTGCCCGTAAGAAGGCATTGATGATGACGATATATTAGTTTCTTTTTTTGTCTTGTCATTTGTGCTGTAAGGATGAAGTCCTGTTATGTGTTTTTCTTCTCTGCTATTAAGTTCTGCAAGGAGTCCTGATTGTCCTTCCTTTATATGCTTTCTCTCTGCCAGATTAATGAGATGACTAAAGAATTGGATCTACTTCTGAGATCAGTAGAGGATGCTGGTGGGTTCAAAGATGCTTGCACAAGGTCACTGCAAAGTGCAATTGAAGCAGTGGAGCAAGGCATGGATTCTCTGTCTAGAAAATGCAAATTATTAACGGTGATGTTTCTTTAGAGTTTGGATCAATCTATTCCTTGTTATAGGCTTGTATTCTATTTTTCAGGTAACTAAGATTATTTGTTCTAATATTTTTGGATATTCCAATGATATATTAATCATATTTAGTTTCTATTAAAATTTTAGGTGTTTAACATATCTTTAACTGAGTCACGTGATGTTGGGCAATTCATGTAGCTGATTTTCCCTACCAGGATAAGACTTTTGTTGGTCTTTAATGTTTAACGTATATCATTCTATTCCTTGTAGGCTTGTATTCAGTCATTTTTGCTCTTTCACAAGTGACTACATCTCCTAGAACTTTCACTATAGGAATCTTAATAATGGAAATAACAAAATTAAGCAATTTCGTTTCTCCTAGAAAATGACAATTCTTAGAAATTGGTCTTATGGTCTAATTCACACAATCGACTTGTAAGATGAGAACTATCCAACTTTATAATCAATTTAAGTGATTTCTCTAGTTGGTGTGGGACTAAACCACCACTTTTGAGGTTGCAATTAAGACATGCAGCAACTAAGGCAGGCTAGGGGCCACAATTAAGGTGACTTTTTCAAACTCCTCATGTAGTTCTACCAGCTTGGAGCATGACAATTGCAAGTGAGCCTAACAATATATCAATGATAGGCCTTGAGGCCATCTTAGAAATTTGTCTTAGGACTTAACTCAACTACATAAAATCGACTTATAAGGTGAAAATTGTTCATGTTTTATAGACTATCTATAGTCAATGTGACTAACTACCACCGAAGAGGCCACAACTAATGTGGTCAATTAAGGTGGTTTCCCAACAAAAATCATATTCAGTTTTGTGTAGGAGAATTTGGATTCTTGACTTTTCTTATAGTTTCATACAATGTAGTTTTTCATTTCTTAACTTGCTCTCCCAATAGAAAAAACTTTCCCTTGATAAGTTTATTTAGAAATCCTTCTAAAGTGAATTCTTTTGCCAGAATTGCGGTACCTAATATGTTTCATACGAATGGTTTTTTGCAAGGTTGTTAAATTTGCGTTTTGGAGCATATTATCATATGCATGTATGATATTCTTTAGCCTTTGCAATTCGCGCTGCCTCTAGGTTGTGATTTTCATTGATAACGTTGGATCATTGTTCAAGATCTAGGTGGTGCGAAATCTCTTTTGCTTGGGTTCAATCTTAGGAGCCCAAATAGACAAGTGAGCTTAGATGTGGAGTTAGTGCAAAAATATCAGATGAGGCTCAGTCCCATTGTGTGGAAAGTTTATAAGAGGAGAAAGATGAGGTGGTGTGTGAACATGGTGGTAGGGAGTGCAATGTGGTGGAAGGTGGGATAGGATTGGTTATGGGGATTTTTCGACTATATTGGATGTGAGAAAGTGAGAGGGGTGTCTTCAGATGATTATGGAGTTTGTTTTGTAATGGAGAGGTCTAGTTCTCAGTTAGGAGCCTAGCTATAGGGTAGGAGAATTTGTTTCTCTTCTATTTCTTTTGGCTATTCGTCAATAATACAATAGGACACTCCTATTTGTTCTTGAGAAATATTAATTTGTGCTTTTGTTTTTGCTCCTATCATCCAACATCTTTGTTGCATGGGTGTTGTAATGTCTGCATCTTGTTGTTACAACAACATTTGTCATGTGGAAGCAATGACGTCTGTTTTGCAGCAACAACTCTCTACATGGGTGTGGTGCCCTGTCTCACAACCTATTTCTTTATTGTGTTCATGGGTCAGGCTGTGACCTGGTTTTGTTGCTCTTGGGTTAAGCCATGTTTTTATCCTTCAAGACTTGATAACTCCACTCTTCAAAGCCCAAATTTGGCTAAATGGAGTGACATCCACAACATTGCATTGTTTTGTCTCCTTTTATTCCATTCCATCTTTCTCCTTCTCTAGTGCATTGTTTTGTCTCCAATCCAACCTACCTCTTTCTTTCTTCCTCTGTTTTGAAAAAAATTTAGAATGACCTCAAATCAAATTCCCAACTCCTTAATACTTGTGACACGCAATAATGCTTTAGGAAATAGGAGTGATAAAACTTGGAAGCATTGTATTTCAGTTGGTGGGGATACTTGAAAACTTGCAAGTACTGTCGAAAGGTTATAAACGAGGGAGTTTACTAATTGAAGCATCACTTGGATGGTCCTCAACAGGATGTCAGAACTTGCAAGGGTGTTACTGATCAAGTGAAGGAGATGTGGGAAATTGTTGTTGGTTTACAACAAAATTTGATCAAGAAATCAATCCTTAATGTGGAAGAAAGTACAATGTTGGTGATAAAAGAAAAAACAACGAATATGTATCATTTGACACTAACAATACTATAATTATTTTTAAGAAAAGAGTAGTTAGCACACAAGTCACCATCAATACCATGTTCGAGAAAGGTGTGAAAGGCAGCATGTCAAGCAATTACTAGGTTTTTCTACAACAATGTTAATGTGGCAGAGAGTGAAGAATTTGATGCTATATTGGATTTTGTTTTAAGGCACGCTTTTGAATTTCGAGTTGGTTTCGAAGTGAAACATGATCTAATGCAATTTCTGATAAGGATGGTGAGGGACATTGATGAACAAACCTCGATTGACATCCAAGTTCTTGGTCACTAGATTAATTAATTTAAAGATTCCAGCATGTGGAGGGGGGGGGGGGGTTCTTACAATGATGAGCTTCAAAACTTTGTCATTCATGTATTGACTTTGACATGTAGGTCATTCGGATTTGGATGAAAATACACCTCTAGTTTGTTTAGACATTACTTATTTAAATGGTGAAGGAGATGAAATTGGAAATGATGGAGTTAAAGATCTCTTGATCGAATATGATTTTAGCATGCAAGCTTATTTGCTTTAGATTAGATGGATTATTGTTTTTTAACTAGGATAGATTTCGTATTTGGTAACTAGGATGGAGGTACTTGATGTTTTGTAAGTAGGAAGGATTCATGGTTTTGTAACTAGGATGGAGTGTTTAGATTATGATTAAATCTATTGACTTACTTTTTTGTGTGCTTATAATATTTCTTTTGTTTATTATGTTGAAATGAAATTTAAATATTTGGCATATATATGAATTTCATAAATTTTATAGAATCTTACAATCCATGTTACAACCTCTCATTTTACGAGCTATACTTCCCTTAATGATCTTAAGTTTTGACTACCTTGGTTTTTTGCATTATCAAAACTTGAAATGGACATTTCCCCAATATTTGTGTTATGTGCATGATCAATTAAATTGATTTTACAAATGTTTTTTAGTTATCACGTAGCCAAATATTTTGGGTGAAGAATGAGTTTGTGTGAATCCTCTAGCTAGGGACCTTCCACGATGAGGTTTAATAGACATCAACTAGAGATAGTGCCAAAATACTGTATATAAGTGAGTGCAATTCTAGTTTTACAAGCTGATTTTGTAGAATTAACCACCTTTTAAAATGGTATCAGATCTTATCTTGGATTCATTAAATGGTCATTCACCATGTTATCCACCTACCAAGTTCAATAGTGCTGGACGTGAGTGGTTGTATTAGGAAAAACCCAAGTTAGTGTGTCTCTTTGATGCTCAGCCCATGGTATTTTTCAGGAGTTTCCATTTCTGGTTTGTAGAGGGAATGGACTGCCAATGTCCATTGCCATTGTTTGAATTTTATTTGTTGTTAATTTCTTTTATAGTAGTTTATGGTAGAGGAAACCTTGTCCTTCTGTTTTCGTAATTATTAATTTCTTTCTTATCAAACTATTATTTCTATTAAACAACCATATTTATTATAAAATGATAATGATAAGTTTTTAGTTAGCATAAAATGCTCTCATTGTATAAGTCTTGTAATATATGCTTTGGTAAACGTAACATGTACCTGTGATTTGGTGATGGGATTGGTTTAGCTTATAATGCAAAAAATATTGATGAACCTTAATTTTTAATTGGTGTGCTAATGGTTTAGGCTAGGGTTAGAATAAACAAAATGAATGATTTTGATATTCAAAAGACCAAAACAAATCTGAAATAGTCTAGTCCTTTCTCAAATGATAAGATATTTTTTCTCCTCAACCTCCCTCTTTACATATGGGAAACAATTGTATGTATTATTTCTTCTACTCCTTGTAATTTGGGTTTGAACTTAACTCGTCCAGGCAAAACTCGTTTGTGAAGTACGGATTGTCCTCCACATATATACTCTTTTCAAGCCATATCTCTAATCAGTATATGAGTTGACTTTTTTCCAATACTCTAACGAACTACTAATGGGTATTTATCATTTGAACTGTAATTTGGCAACCTAAGGCTTGTCCTTTTTGTATTTTTGGAACTTTGATTTGAAAGCAATGAGGGAGAGATTGATGGCAATGTGAAACATGTTTCTATATTCCCAAGTGTGATAAAATTTCGTAACATTACATTTTTCACTGTCATAATCAATTATGATACATCAGAAATAGAAAAACGATTTTCTCTTTGTCATAATTGATTATGTTACAATATAATCGATTATTACAGTTTAAATTTGAAAAATATATCCGTTTTTGAAGAATAAATATTTTTGGATACATTCTGATTTTTCTCTACAAAATTATTAATAACCAACGGCTATTTTCTGATGCTATTTTCCTATTTAAATGAGTTTTGATGAAAAATAAAAAATACACAATTACAAAATTCGAAAATACAATTTTACATTCATTCAGTTTTAAGAAAAGAATTCTGAGCAAGGTGGTTGTCGTAATTCATTCAGTTTTATAATTTTTTCAAATTATATATAAACTATTCATTCATTCAGCTTTTTCAACTAGTTTATATAAATAAGAATTATTTTATTGCCTTCACCCTTTGTGAGTTTAGGTGGTTGCTGATATTTTATTGCCTTAATCCCTTTTTCTAGGGCTTAGAAAGTTGATGTTAAATTCCCTGATTAGGGTTTAAGTGGTTGCTGTTATTCTATTATATTTCTTTGGGTTTCCTGTGTGGAAAGTGTTCATCCCTTTGATTTGTTTAGGGAGGTGTTCATCCTTAATGGGATTCTAAGGAGGTGTTTTCATCCCTTTGATTTGTTCGGGGAGGTGTTCATCCCTAGTGTGATTCCAGGAAGGTGTTCATCTTTTGTGTTGGTTGCAAAAAAGGTGTTTTTCATCCTTTTATTTGTTCAGAGGAGGTATTCATCTCTAATGGGATTCTAAGGAGGTTTTCATCCTTAGTGGGTTTCTAAGGAGATGATTGTCTTTTTAATTAATTTACTTTTTACTGGTTCCTCTGCAGTTGATTGTAATTTGTAAACTGAATTTGAATGATAGTGAATTGGGGTCACTCTAGTGTTAGACGTGACTGGGAACTGAATGTAGGGTTGACTATACCCGAACCAGTATAAATTACTGTGTGCTCTTATCTTTCCTTTATCACTCTTCTTTTCTTAATCACTTCTCTTATATCTTCAAGATTATATTATCGCTTCCATTTTAAAATTGAATTAACAAATTATTGGATATTTAAAATAAATTTTAATTTGATATCTATTTTAATTTGTGCATCTATTCACCCTCCTCCGGATGTCATTTGTCCAATATGATTTAGTTGGTTGAATCCTTAGAATTTTTCCATATTTGTTTTTACTTTTTTGGAAAAGATGTTGCTTTGTTATATTAGCAAAGCAAACACTACCATTTACTGATAGAAATCTGGTTAAAATTATATTTGCCTATACTTATGCCCTTCAGATGTTCCCAAACTTTTTTTTTTTATATATATTTTCTTGGTTATCATTTTTATCCTTCTCCTATACCTACAATTCATTAGCTGTAGGGCTAATTAGGTATTTCAACATATCCCTTGCCATTCTATTATTGTAATGTTTTCCTCTTTACTTGCATAATATATTTTTTGTTTATCTAGAGTGTACTTAACTTTTCTTAGTTTATTATTTGATTATAGTTTGCAACTGATTAATGTTTATGCCCTTTATTTGTGTATTGTAATTCAGATTTTATTTTAATATCATTACACAGACACACACGCAAGTTTGTGTCTCTGCGTGTAACCATTATACTAGTGACGCTAATATTCAAATTTTGGTCCCTTAACTTTTCAGTGCCAAGTGGATGAACATCATGAAGAAGTTCATTATCTTCTTAACAAGACAATTCGAGGTAATTTTTATCTGTCTATCTATGAAATTCGTTTTCATGGAATTGTTAACAAATGAAATTATGTGGTGACATCAATCCAATAATATTATTGTATCTATTTTTTAATAAAAATAATTTGTTTTTAAAACAAATTGGTTAATGGCTTATCTAGACTTTTTTGTTTGGTCAGTTTTTTTTACTGGTGTAGCTGGTAAATATCAAATAGAATAAGTATAATAGATTATAATTTTGGTCCATGGGAAATACAATAATCTTTCATCAAGTTGCTGGAAATCATTACTTTCAGACTTAGGTTCTTCAAAGTTTTCCATCCACAGTCTTTAAAGGAGGTTGAATTATCTCAGCTTTGTGCCTTGTCAAAGACTTGAGTGTTCAGTCTGATCTGCATTTAAATGTAAATTAATTCAATAAAGTTTTGATAACATGTTTTAAAACTTACATTTTACTGTTCAAACTGTACTTAACCTAACCTCTTGCTTTATCTTTTCAACCAAGTAAAACTATATTTTTTGGAAGAAAAGTTAGATCTGTCACGAGTACGTGATATACAGACTTATTATCAGGTGTATTCTTTCTTTTTGTCGCCAAAATGGCATAACATCTTTTCTCTGTTTGTCTTAAATGGTTATCTGTTGGGATTACAGTAATGGCAAGAAAAATCTATATGGAAGGCATCTATAAGCAAGCTTCTGATAGCAGATATTGGGATCTATGGAATAGGCAAAAGTTGAATTCCGAACTTGAGCTAAAACGACAGTATATATTGAATTTGAATCAGGTACTATGGGTTATAATTTGCCAATGTAGGATTTCTGTGGGCTATGCTTTAATAAGTTTATCTCAATTCTTATTCCAGGATTTGACCAATCAGTTAATTGAATTGGAGAGGCATTTCAATGCCCTTGAACTGAATAAATTCAGTCAAAATGGTGCCCGGGACATAGGTCATGGACCCTCTCAAAATAGATGTGGACCTTCAAGGTATAACATGTAGTTAATTTTTTAATGTACTATACCCTTAACATGTTTGTGCAATTTCAATATATAGATGTGGTCGATTTTCGTTTAGATCATTTGTCTTGTTGCCATTAAGTAATCTGTAGTACTGATCATTTACTACATATATAGCAGAGATATTATTCTTGCATCAACAATAGGCTTATTAATAGGCCTAATTTGCAGTATATGGAAAAGGGGAGCAAGGAAGGTGATGCAAAAACTAATAATGGGTTTGAAGGCTTAGGTAAACGAATGCAGGAAAATGACAGGTGGTAAAGGAGATAATAGAAAAGGGAAAGGAGAGAGAAGGCATCGGAGAAGGAGCAGGTGCCACACATGAACTAGAGGAAGGAGATACTGGAATCAGTGCTAGAGAGAGGGAGTTATTCTAACTGATTGGATAATGGATTGAGTGGTTTTTTTTTTTTGGGGGGGGGGGAGGAGAGGGCGCGAGGGATTTTCAGAAGCAGTGAGGGGTTATTCTCTGGGTAAGGAGTGGTCATTATGAGCAATTGGGGATTCCTTTTACTGTTTAATTGATTTGGAGCGCATAGCCTCCATTTCCTCATACAACAATCCACATCCAGCTGTCTTTGTGATGTATCTAAGAATGTGAATCACAAGATTCCAACTATCAATGTAAGGAGCTGCATGAATTGACAATTCCAACTACAAAAGAGATGTCAAACCTAGTAATTGTGAGGTCAATGAGTTTCCCATCTAGTCTGCTATGTCTCACTAGATCTGAGAAAGGTTTACCTTGTTCATCCATTATCTTTTGATTGTGAGGAGCATGCCTCTTTCTTCCAAAATATCTGAAACATATTTCCTGAGAGATAATAATATCTTTTTAGTTGGGAGATTTTAACAGCATCATTTCCCATAATGATTATACCATCCAAAGACAACTAGGTAAACACACTTGCAAAGTGAACTATGATTATAAAAATTTGAATGATCTGCTTCACCTGCAATAAAAAAGTGGACCATAGTTCCTGCCTCTCTCAATATGAAACACCTGCACTGTTAGTTGACCTCCCTTTTGACTTTGCCTTGTCCAACACACTCAAGAAGCTTCAAATTTTATTTGTGCTTTTTTTCCGCATTTGCTAATTTCTCTATTACTTAACTATTCAATAGAAATTCAGCACCATCACTAATAAGCTCCAAAATCCACCCTATAATCCATGCTGAAAGTCCATTCCTTAGCTCCTTGTTTATTTGGGAGTCAGATTTGCTCTTAGCTTCTTTTGCATATGGCTTGTCTAGCAGTTTTCCTCTTGTGGGTTTAGACAGATTGAAGGCTGTTGCAGTACATTAATGAGAAAAAAAAATCATTTCTTGTTGGTTTTCTCTTTTGTTGGTGGAGTATCCTGTCTCTCTAGGTAGGCATTAACTTAAAGCTTTTAAAATCTTCTGTTTAACTGAACTTTAACTTCCTTCCCTTTGCAGATATGTCCAGTCATTTCATAGTTTACATAGTGCAATCAGTTCACAACTTGTAGCTGCAGAAAATCTATCTGAGTGCCTTTCAAAACAAATGTCAGTATTGAGTTTAAGGTCTCAAACTGAGGAAAGAAAGAATGTTAAGGAGCTATTTGAAACAATAGGAATTCCATATGAAGCAGCTTTTGTCTCTCCAGACATGAAATGTTTTATGAAGACTCCTCCTAGTAAAAAGATTTTTTCTGACTTGACGGTTAATAAAGATCACTCTAGGAGAGACCAAAGCAGTGCAATGAAGAGTTGTGAACCAGAAACGGCTAGGAGGAGGAGAGACTCACTTGACCAGGTATTACTGTAGTTGCTTATGGGTTACTTCAGTTTCGATCATACAAATACGTCACAGAATTAAGCAAAGAAGATTGTTGTAATATATTCCTATTTTATATCTGCTTCTGTTGAATATCTTAAACCAATGGAATCTTGAGTTTGATTGTAACCATGTTCTAAATATTTCTGCTATTACATTTGATTTCTTGTGCGTACATATTTATTTAAATAGTCTATTTATCTATTAATTTTGAGGTGAGCGTTTGACATATTTGTGGAGGTAAAATGTAGGGGAGTGAACTAGAGTGTTTACGAGAGGTGAATAAAAATTCTGCTAGGAGAAAAATAGTGATGGGAAAATGTAACATGAATAAGATGAGGGCAGCAAAAGTGGAGACACAAGACAAGAATTCGAGTGAATTGGTCTCTGTTCATGGAGGCCAGAGTTTCCATGTCAGCTTTGATAGTTAGATATTATTTCTGTTTTCTACATTCTTGTGTTCTTGTAACTGGTCTTCTGTTTGTTGAGCAATACTTTTGCCATGTCAAGGACCTTTCCCCTCATAAAAGGATTTTTGGCCTTATGAATTTGCTATTGCTTGGTGTACTATTAGAAAGTCATGTTAGAATTTTTTTTACTAGTCAAGCAGTGTCTCTAGTTCATTTGGCATTGAGTTGTTCATGTTGCTTCTTTGACGTGTTCTGCTAGTGGTCCTTTTATGGGTATGTCTGATGGGATTAGGGACACTTATGACAGTTTTTGGCAGAAATCAGCAGTTCCTTTTGATTAATAGTGGTGTATTGTTTTATTCTGATTGGTTATGTATTTTAGAAACAGTTAAGTTATTTCGGTCTGAAGGTAGGAAGTTCTATAGCAGTTTCTATGTAACATTAGTATAAAAAAGGGCCTGTAGGTAAAGGAGTGGTCAGAAGGATGTGTTTGGTATCATCCCACCTTTACGGTGTTGCTCGATATTTATTTTGGGATTTGATTTTACTGTTTTTAAAAAAATTCTGAAGTTGTTTGCTAACTGTTTTCTTATAACAGTTTTTAAAAATTATTTGTCTTTTAGTTTTTAAAAACTAAAAATTCAAAACTGATAATAAATATTTTTTGTTTTCATTAATAATTATCAATATTTTACTAATAATTATATTAAATAATTTATTTTCATTACCATAAAAATATTAAATCATTTTTTAACTTCTGTTACGATTTTTTGTGATTAGCTATATCATTCTCTTTCGTCTACAATAGTTTTTAAAAATATAGTTATTTAAGTAATTTTTTCCAACTTATTTTTAAAAACTAAAAAGCAAAACTAAACCAAACAAGTCCTTAAACAATATGGGTTACTTTGAGGCTTCCACTGATAATTGACCTAACGCAATGAACCTGTGATGTGATAGGTTTTTCTTGATTAGTGGTGGAAGAGGATGGACCCTATAAGTTATTTAATGATAGGATCTTTAGCCTGGATGGTTCTGATATATTGTTTCGATTAATGATTATGACCTGTGACTTTTACCAACTTTGGTGCAGAGTTGGACTTGTTTTGAACCTCCTAAGACCATCGTTAAGAGGATGCTACTGCAAGAACTTCAGAAACTGAATAGGAATGATTCATTATATTCAATGAATAAAGAAAAAAAAGTTTCCACATTAGAGGGACCTGCTCCTCGTTCAACAGATGCCAGACTTCCTTCAATTGTCTTCCCATCTCCGAAAATGAAAGGTGAGCTGCAATCAATTGTTGACCAGGTTAGACCTTATGGTTTTGGTTTCTGACACTTTCCTTTTTGTACGAATATACTTGCAGCAAGCATTCTGGATTCTCATCTTGAACATGAAGTGGTGTCGGAGCACTCAAAGGCATTTATATCTGCTGACAGCCTCCGAGTAGCCGCTCATGTTTCGGAGTCTATGTCTAGTGCTTTGCAAAAAAGTGATAATTTATCTATTCCCTCTCGACCTGCGTTCCATTTGTCACCAACAATGATGAGTGGTCATTCCCCAGAAACTGAAGGTTTGGCTGCTGAAAAGTCGACTGTTCAGAAGTTCGATTTAATCTTAAATAGTGAAAATAAGCCTACTCTGAATTGGAAAATCCCTCAAAAATCCTCAATCCCTACCTATTCAACCACAGAAACACCTCCAGTGCATAATAAATCCAGTGAAATGGCCATTGCAAATAGTAAAATGACTATGGCTACGAGTTCCACAACCGTAGACAAACTTTCAAATGCATCTACTCCCGATTCTCTGAGAAATGTCTTTCCATCCTCTGAGTCACTGGGCATTACTTCTGCATCGTCCACCTTCTTTGGTAAAGTTACCGACCTCCATGTTGCTAAAAGCTTGCCCAAGGAAAATGTTCCTGCAGTCCCCACATTTGGTGGTTCATTTAAATCTCTGCTATCTTCGACTGCTAAAACGACGTCCTCTCTACTGTCATCATCTGCCTCGTCTACAGCAATGCCTCCAGTAGCAGTGTCAGTGACATCAAACAGCTTGACTAGTTTGAACACCAATACAGATTCTAATAATGACATGTCATCATCTTCATCATCAGCTTTTCTTCACTCATCCAATCAGAGACTAAAAGACACAGTGTCATCCTTACCTGATCCACCTTGCTTGAATTCTGCCTTAGAGTCACTTAAGCCCGAGATTCAACCAGTTTCTGTACTTAAATCAGCGATTCCACCAGCTTCGGTACTTAAACCAGATATTCAACAAGCTGCTTTACTCAAATCAGATATTCAACCAGCTGCTGTCTCTAATTCAAAAACTGATTCAGATGCTGCCGCAGAAGTAGTCACTAGACTGAACGAAGCAGTAAATAATGCATCTGAATTGAAGCTTGGATCTTCAATAAAATTCAGTCCTACTATCGAACAATCTTCCAAAAATATAACAAGTTTTGATCTCAATGCTGGCCCAGTCTCTCAAGCTGCACGTCCTTCTGATGCTCCTTTGCAGTTTTCAACTTCTTTCCTTTCATCTGCCACTGTTTCAAACTCGAAAAATGAGGGCTTGGATGTTGGAATCTCACATGAGGATGAGATGGAGGAAGAAGCTCCTGAGACAAGTAACAACACAACTGAACTTAGATTGGGAAGCTTCGGTGGGTTTGGGATTAGCTCAAGCCCTAACCCATCAATGCCTAAGTCAAATCCTTTTGGGGGTTCATTTAATAATGTAGCAACAAGTTTATCAAGCTCTACAGTCACATTCTCTGTTCCTAGTGGAGAGTTGTTTAAACCAGCATCATTTACTTTCTCAAATCCTCAGTCATCTGCACCAACCCAGCCAACAAATTCAGGTGCATTTTCGGGCGGCTTCAATTCTGTGGCAGCTGTTCCCACACAAGGTCCTAGTGGGTTTGGGAATCCAGCACAAATTGGATCAGGGCAACAGGTTCTTGGATCAGTACTCGGTGGTTTTGGACAATCAAGACAACTTGGTAGTGGTTTACCTGGAAATGGTTTTGCTGCTCCCAGTAGTTATGGTGGTGGATATGGCGGCAGTAGTTCTACTAGTGGTTTTGCAAACACTGCCATTGGTGGAGGGTTTGCTGGCATAGCATCAACAGGTGGAGGCTTTGCTGGTGTTGCATCCGCTGGTAGTGGATTTTCTGGTGGTGGATTTGCCGGTGCTGGTGCCCCTGGTGGGGGTTTTGGTGGTGGTGGTGGTGCTGCCCCTGGTGTTGGTTTCGGTGCTGCTGCTGCTGGTGCCCCTGGTGTTGGTTTCGGTGCTGTTTCTTCTTCTGGAGGATTTGCTGGAGCTGGTTCAGGTGGGGGTTTTGGAGCATTTAGCAGCCAAGGGAATGGTAGATTTGGTGCAGTTGGCGACAGTAAACCACCTGAGCTCTTCACACAGATGAGAAAGTAGTATAAGGTTATAGTGATTGGAAAGCTCAACTAGAGTTCATATTGTGAAACTCCATAAAGTAATTACGCCCGAACTACGAGAACAATATCAACAGTTTATAGGGATGAACAATTATGTTCTAACTTTTCGGAGAAATTTATGAAATTTTTGTCAAGTTTATGGTATGTTCTGTTTTTAAATGATAACTGAAAAAGGAAACATGTTTTTAATAATTGAAAAAAGGGAACCACCTCGATTTGACTGGTAAATGCATTACTAAATTTGGGATAGATAACATGTAGATAGTTATTTCATTACGGCGCATTAGGTAATGCAAATTTTTATTTATATAAACTAGTTGAAAAAAGAAGTAATCCTCATCTTATTTGACATGAAAATATTTAAAAAGCAGCATCATGAGTAGTTTCTTGTTTTTGTAGTAGCATTAGTTATAGTGAAACAAATGTTTAGAATCAGTGAAACACAATAAAATAGAAAAAAAATATTGACTACAAAATATCCTTTTATTAATAGTATAGATTAAAATAATATATGTTGTTAATGTATTTCAGCATATAACTTAATACACATGAAAGGACAAATATAAATTTATAATATTTGACAAAAAACATATCATTACCAAACTCAAATAATTTTATTTTAATTCCTATTACATCGTTTTTGAAATGAAGTTTTTTACTATTAAAAAATTTCAATAGCGGTCATTTGTTTCTGACATGTATAAAAGAATTATGGAGGTTTAAAACCACCATAGATTGCTATGGTCATTGGTTTGACTAGCATTGCTGACTGTAAGTTATGTCCTCGTGTAACATTGTCATCCTCTTCTATTTCAATATAAATATTTTTTGCTGTTTCTTTTCAATTCTTGGTTCTTGCTTCTGGTGCTCACAGTTTTGGAATTGTGCTTTGGGAACTCACTGCTATCAGGTAATTTAGGAACAAGTATCAGGAGTTCCCGAACACTAGGGGAGTTATCTTTACCAGTTGAAGGACGAATGCTTTCAGTGGCAGATGTTTTACCTTTGCCAGATACCGCAGCTAGCTACTGCGCAGTCTTTATATTCAGAAATTGGGTTTGGTGGTTATGAGAACTCTAGAATCACGTGAAAGGGTGTCTGGCAAACTCTGGGCTTGGGGAGATCTCTCAACCCAACATATAATGCCAAGAAGAAGGATTATCGTCTTAAAACCATGGGCATGATGGAAATTGTTTTTAACAGGCCACTGGACATTCTAAGGATGCTATTGGAATCCGACAGTCCAAGGTCAGTTTTAGAAGATTTCTTCCGATTTGGTGCAGGCGATGCAGCTGCAATGTGTTTAATGCTAGCTGCAAGAATATTGCATTCTGAAAACCTTATCAGTAATGTTCTTGCATGCCACAACTTGAAGGTAGTAATGCATCATCAAACACAGGTGCTGCTTCTGGATTTAGCATGGGCCACGTTGTTCAGGAAGCTGCGCCTTTTTTTCTTTTTCAGGTGCACATGAAGGGCTCTGTTTGTGTTCGACTAGATTACTTTTTCCCCTGTTGGAACGTCCTGTAATGGTTGTAAAAGGCAATTTAGGTCCTCCACTACCTGAAAATGGGGTAGTTGTGTGCAGTACAAGAGACAAGGATGGAAATGTAATTCAAGGTTGAATTCATTTCATAAAGATGTAATATAAATATATAAAAAATGACCTAATAGAAAAAGAGTAAAAACAAATTTGTCCTATATACGTTACTATTTCTTGGCATATTCTTCTGTTATATTGTTTTCGATTTTGCTTTTACAATTTGTTTTACTTCTATATTCCGTTTTGTTGTTTTGGCTCATATTGAGTCTTGCTTCTATTAGTCCCTCACAAACTCGAGGTAGGAAAATGTCAAATAATACCAGCTTGAATAGATTAGAATGAAATAGTCTAGGTGGGAGAACTTTGATAAATATATATGCTAGTTGATGTGAGGAGGAGACTAGCAGTAAGTGCATTAATCTTGTTTGATATTTTTCACATACTAAATGACAATCAATATCCAAATGTTTTGTGCGATCGTGAAAGATAGGATTGGCTGCAACATGAAGAGCACTTTGGTTATCACAAAATAAAACAGTAGATTTAGAACAAGTGACTTGAAGATCATTTAGCAAGTAAGACAACCATTGAAGTTCACATGTAGTGGATGCAAGAGCGCGATATTCGGCCTTAGAAGAAAATCGAGAGATAGTACTTTATTTCTTGGTCTTCCATAAGATCAAGGAATGTCCAAAGAAGAAGCAATAACCAGTGATAGATTGTTGAGAATCAAGACAAGTGGCCCAATCGACATCACTGAAACCAAATATTTGAAGGGGAGAGTCTTTACGAAAAAGAAGACCTTTGCTTGGACAACTTTTAAGATAGCAAAAAACTTTCATGGCGGCACGGTGGTGAGTCTAGGTGGGATGAGCCATGAATTGGCTAAGTTGTTGTGTGACATATACAATGTCTAGAATGTGGTAGTGAGATATAACAATCGTCCAACCAAACGTCGATAGGATAAGAGATCTGCTAACAAGGGGCTAGAGTCTTGATGGAGGCAAAGAGAGTTATCCATTAGTATAGAGGAGGGTTTACAACCAAGCAAGTCAGCATCCGTTAGTAAGTCAATACAATATTTGCGTTGACATAGGGAAATCCCTGTGTCTAAACGAGCTACCTCTAAGCCTAGATAATATTTTAAAAGTCCATGGTCCTTAATGTGAAAATTGGAGTGAAAAACATGTTTGATATGGGCAATTTCAATGGGTAAATTTTTAGTTAACACAATATCATCAACATATATAATTATAGTAGTAATGTCAATACCAAAGACTTTAATGAACAGACTATGATCAATTTGAGTTTGATTGTAACCACAAGAGAGAAGCTTGTTTGATAATAATTAACAACATACTGAATTGGATACGAGCACCTAGAAGATGATGGATTTGGCATTATAGACAAAGAATTGCACTGAAAATCGCAAAGGAAAAGAGGTGGTGCAGGTGGGGCGAGTGGAGCGACAAAGAGGTGGTGCAGGTGGGGTTGAAATTGGTGTATCCAAAGATGATAGATGGATAGGTGTTATGTTGTTTTGGCTTGTGTCGGTTTGGTCTATGTTGGATTGGGATGGTATAAAGGGTGGGTTAGATTGCAAGCTATGACTAGGAAGGGAAAAGTTGGGTAGATAGGTGTCAAGATAAGGATCCGTAGGAGGGGTAGTGATGTGAGGAACAGTGGTGTTTGGACTTGGGTTTAGTGTGAAGGGAAAGTTAAATTCATAAAAGAAAATGTCTTGTGATGTAAATATAGTTTTAGAAATCAAATAAAAAATAACATATCTTTTAGTTCCAATATCAAAACAAAGAAAAACTTCCTCGCATGCACGAACATCAAATTTTTGATGTGGAGTGTATGTGGAAGCGTAACATAAGCAATTAAAAATTTTAAGCATGAAAAAATCAAGGGTTTGTTTGTGTAAAAGCTCATAAGGGCACATGTTTTGAATGACAATAGAAAGAACACAGTTAATTAAGTAAACAACATGTTTAACCGCATAAGACCAAAAATGTTTAGGAAGATGAGATTGAAACATAAGAGCACGAGCAATATTAAGAATATGTTAATGTTTTTTTTTCAATTTTGTCATTTTGTTGAGAAGTGTAAACACAACTAGATTGATGAATGATGCCTTTAGATGCTAGAAAATATTTAAGAAAAAATTTTGGACCATTATCAATGCGAATGCATTTGATTTTTGTGTCGAATTGATTTTCATCAAAGATAATAAAATTTTGAACATGTGTTTTTACTTCAGCTTGGACTTTAATAAAAAAAAAAAAACCCAAGTGAATCAACTATAATCATCAAGAATAAATAAAAAATACTTGTGACTATGAAGAGAAGTAGTAGAAAAGGGACCTAGATGTCCATATGAATTAGATAAAAAATATTAAAAACTCTATTTGTATTTAAGGTATAAGACAATTTTCTTTATTTTGAGAGATGAGAAATATTACAATTTTCAATAACATATTTTGAAATAATGGAAAATTTATTATGCAAGTCATTGATATATATTTTCATAGAGGTAACCTAATCTAAAATGTCATAAGTTGGTTGAGGATAAAGATGGGGTAATAATATTGTTGGCATAAGAAATAAGGCTGCCTCCTTTCTTTTTATGTTCTAAATAGTAAACAACTTTTGTCAATTTAACCAAACCAATCAACTGATGTCCATTTCTTGTATTTAACAAATATCATGAGAAAAAATGAATGAATATTTAAAAGAGGAAATTAATTTTGATATAGAAAGAAGATTGAAATGAAACTCTGGTACATACAACACATCATGGATTATGAAATTTGGGGAAAATTGGACAGTACCAGAAAAACAAGATTTGAAAATGGTATTATTGGATAAATATATATCAACAGGTTTTATTTTGAATAATTTTGAAAAAAATGGAGAGAGGAAGCGACATCATCTATTACTCCAGACTCAATGATCCAAGAAACAGTGGGTGACGATGGTGAGAGTGTATGTTTACTAAAGTTAAGAGTAGATGTGGTGCTGTAAAAAATGAAAAAAATACTAAAAGAATCAGAAATTAGGCCTTTTTGTTTGATCTGAGAAAAATTGACACTTGGAGGCTGAACTTTATCAATTGGGCCCACATTATTAGAAGAAGAAATTGGTTGCTAGATAAGGTCCATTACGCGCTAAAATTGGGTCTGGGTTAGAGTAAACCCTGATTCATGTGAGTTTGCCTTCGTTGTCACCTGCGAACCATTGGACGACATTGTTGACAGAGGAGGAAGAATCATTGCCATTGCGACCATTATCATTGTTAAAGCGTGGTATACCAGGATAGCGAGGGTGACCGGGAGGATAGCCATGTTTGCTATAACATACATCAATGGTGTGACCAGTGCATTTGCAGTAGGAACAATATTTACTTGAGTTCTGCTGAAAATTTCTATTTGGGGAAAGACCGTCCCCATGACCTCTATTATGGGAAGAGAAATCGATGACATTGATGAATAGATTGACTCCCTCAATGTTTGTTGAGGGCAGAGATGAGTTATGTTGACGTTCTTCCTGGATAACCATGGAGAATACATGATTGATGGAAGGAAGAGAATCCATGTGTAAGATTTGGGAGCGTACCACTAAGAATCGTTCATCCAAACCCTTCAAAAAGCGTATAATAAGATCTTGCTGATGATCTGTTCTGACAAAACAGTTGCAAACAGGAAAAGGGCAAAAATTGTCGAGCTCATCCCAAAGAGACTTGAGGATAGTATAATAGTCAGAAACAGACTTGGAACTTTGGTGAATGCCATAGATTTCTTCCTGGAGCTCTACAATACGAAGTAAGTCACCTTGGGAAAAAAGTTCCCGGAGACCGGTCCAAATATCAATGGCACCACGGTCAAAGAAGATCACACTCTGAACAATGGAGGGAGACAAAGAGTTAAGAAGTCAGGACATGATCAAGGTATTACAACGTTCCCATGAAGGATGCAAGATATCTGTAGGAGAAGGAATAGGTATAGAACCTGTCAAAACACCCATTTTATTTTTGAAAATCAAATTTATTCGAAATGAGCGAGACCAAGAATGGTAATTATTTTCTATAAGAACAAGTGTGATAGAAACAAAACTAGGTCTTTCATTGGGATGAATATAAAAGGGACTAGAAGGAATAAGGGTAGGGTCAGGAGAGACATTAGGATTGAATTTTTTGCCATGACTGGTGGTATTGAAATTAGTATTTGCCATGATAGAGAGAAGAAAGAGAATAGAACTCCAGGGAGGAGCTCTGATACCATAAAACAGACAATGATGGAAATGTAATTCATTGTTAAATTCGTTTCATAAAGATATAATATAAATTCATAAAAGATTACCTAATAGGAAAAGAGTAAAAACAAAATTGTTATATACAATACTGTTTCTTGGCATATTCTTCTGTTATACTGTTTTCTGTTTTGCTTTTACAATCTATTTTATTTTTGCATTCTGTTTTGTTGTTTTGGCTCAGACTGAGCCTTGCTTCTATTATGAAGCAATCTGAGTGGTTCTATACTGTGATTGCAATGGTAAAAGGATGTATTTGTTAGAATTGAAGCATTTTTATCAGAAAATCAATCATCTCTTTCAATTTTACAAATTATCAAAAAATTGTTTATATTTTTTATTATTTCATTTGGATTTAAAGTATAAAAATATAAATAAACAAAATTTAAAATTCTTTTTCCTCTCGTACTACTCACACACTTCTGATGCCAATTGGTTGGGCAATTGGTTGCATTTGTCACTCGCATCTTATAAAATAGATAAGGAAAAAAAAAAAAAAAAATATATATATATATATATATATATATATATATATATATATTCTATTATTCCATTTAAAAGAAACAAAAATTATACCTTTTGTATATTAAGAAGAAATTTGTAACAAGTCTAAATCTGGCATGTAAATTATCATATTAAAATTTTAATATTAATTAACTTATATGTAAATTTCGTGATATTAGTCTTCATATTATTAATTATAACTATTTAAAATAAAATAATAAATTTTATTATTTTAAAATATAATACAATTTTTTTAATATTTTTATTTAAATAAAAATAGTAAAATATATATTTCTAATATTTATTTTTACTTTAATATTGATTTATTTAAATTTGACTTTTTTTACTTATAAATCAATTTAAGAATTTATTCAATCTAATAATTAAACGTAATGTAAATGAAATAATATTTTAATTTAATTTATATAATTGATTTAATTGAATCGATTAATTATTTAAATTTGGTATAAATATATTGAAAATTATGATAGAAAAATTGTTTTGTTACTTAATCTATTGATTAATATATTTCTATTTATTAAATTTGGTTTGATTTTTGTTATATTTTTTAATTTTATTTTATTTTTAAATTTTCAAATTCATAAATTTATAAATTTAACTTATAAAAATTGAATATTTATTTTCTATATTATAAAATCTTAAAGAAATTTTAGATTACTTGTTATCATAAATCCCTTCTTTTTCTAATAACTTATGCTATTGAAAAAGTGTTTAGAGATTATAAGTTTTTTTTTTTTATCTATGGCAACATTTATACAAATACAACATTATATAAATTTGTCATAAATTGCAACAGATTTGTTTCCGTCACAAAAAAAACTATTTTTTTAACAAACATTAATTCTTGTATTATTATTTGAAATAAATATTTATTTTTTAAAAATAAAAATGATTATTTCATAATTATTTTGTTAATATAGTTTTTATTTTTAATTTAAAAATTGATAAAATGTATTTTTTATTAATAAATATGAATTCTTCAACTAATAATTAAATTATATTATTTATCTTTAATTTTTATTAAGTTGTTTTTTAAGTTTCATTATTGATGAGCTTTGTTTTCTCTAAATTAAAGTTTATCAAACAAGCTATTTTTCTTTTAATTTATTTGTAATTCTTGTAAATAGGTAATTAATTTTTTTAAAATAAAATTATTCTAAATCAAACATAACTTTTTATTTTTGGTATTATGTATTATAAGTTTATTGAGCCAACCGATACCGTATTTCAGTATTCTCTTCCATTAAGTTATTATTTTATTTGAATAAAAGTAGTAAAAGAAGTAGATGTAAATTTTAAGAATAATAAAAGTTAGTTTATTTAGTACCCACATGCTATAAGTTTATGAGGCTTTATAATATTTTTATTATGCTAAATTATCATAATGCACTAAATATAGGGGTTTATTATTTTATTATATTAAGTTATTATGATAGACTAAATATAATATAAGAGTTGATATGTAAAACTCGGCATCTACTTCTTCTGTACTTCATTTCATACATCCAATAACGTCTGTTATGCAAATGATATTAAGTATTCATCAGAATTTTCCAATTATCTCAGCAGATATCAATTAATTAAATTATTTATAATAAATTGTCAGTAATTATTAACCATTATAAATATAACTATATATATATATATATATATATATATATTATTTAAATACATAGCTAGTTTGACGATTACACCTTTTTAAACTAAAATTGGTTATCTTAATTCAACCCAAAATACCTAAAAAGAGAATTGTCATTGGCAGGATTCGAATCCAAGTACTTTAGAGTTGGAGGTCGATACTCCAACCACTAAACTACTAAAATTTTCTAATAATAACTTACAAATAAATTATATTTATATACAAATAAATATATATCAGTGTAAATATATAAATATATAAATACAAATATATTTATATATTTTGATATATTTATATAGTTATATATTTATATGTTGGATGTGAGGGCACACTCGAAAGTGAAAGTGTGTGTCGAGTGAGTTTTCAAAATTTGATGTTAAATTTGTGAGCAGGTATCTTTATATGAGTTTGTAATTTAATGATAGAATATAATATTTATAATTTTATTTATATAATGATATAAAATAAATTTGGGAAACGCGTTATTTCTTTGTCAGCGAAAAATACCAATTTTCGCTCAAGCGAGACTTGAGTAAGTAAATTTCAGTGAGCTTTAACATATTTTCACTCAAGCGAGAGTCAATCACACTTTCACCCTCGATCAAAAAATACCAATATAATTTATTTGTAAGTTATTATAAAAAAATTATAATAGTTTAGTGGTTGGGATATTAACTTTCAACCCTAAAATATTGGGTTCAAATGTTATCGAGTGACAATTCATTAACTTAAGAGAATTTTTGGTTAAAAATAAAAATAAAAATACTTTCCAGAAAATATATACAAATAAATATATATTTACATGGATATATATTTATTTTTATATAAATATAATTTATTTGTAAGTTATTATCTAGTAGCTTAATGGTTGGAGTATCGAGCTTTAACTCTAAAGTCTTGGGTTTGAATCTTGCTAATGATAATTTTTAAATTTAAGTGAGTTTTTGGGTGAAAAAAAAAAAAGACTTTCTACGTCGGTGACGTAGAATGTGTTTAATATTCAACGTCGTCTGAATTTTTGGGTGAAAAAAAAAGACTTTCTACGTCAGTGACGTAGAATTTGTTTAATATTTAACTTTCTACGTCGTTTCAGTTATAACGTTAAATAACGACGTAGAAAATATATTTTGTGTTTAATATAACGACGTAGAAAATATATTTTGTGTTTAATATTCAACTTATATATTTTGTGTTTAATATAACGACGTAGAAAATATATTTTGTGTTTAATATTCAACTTTTAACGTGGGTGTCATTTCAGTATTTATTTTGTAATAGTAAAGGTGTCTTGACTGATTAAAAAAATAATTTTTGAAACTATTTTCTTAATACCGAAACAAGTTTATATTTCACTTTTATACGCCTCAATATATACTCTGTAAATTTCTCTGTGGGAACTTTTTTCTCTTTCTTTTCTCATCCCAGGTATCCAACAGTATTAATGAATGAAAAATGTCTACAGTTAAAATTTAATCGCAAAAAAAAATAAAAAATGCTTGGAAATATATTTTAAGAAAAAGCATATTTTACTACTCATCAAAACCTGTGCAGTGCAGCAGTTTAGAGGTAGGGAAGAAAATCCGAATGAGATTCTGGAAAAGTAAAAGTTTACACGGTTGGCTTGGATGCAGCAACGTGGTGCAATCAGCAGACGCCAGAGTAAGATAGGTTAATGGTATCCCAGGTCACATTCAATAGGGTTTCCGACCTTCCAACCCATCCCTACGCCCATTTGTCCCACACATTCTAACTCCCATCTCCCCCCAACACATTTTTCAGCTTTTTGTCCCACCTACCAAGCCCCATCCCTCGTACTCTTCCAACTTTCCATTATCATTTATGCCATACCAGATCATCACTCACAGACATACGATCAAATCCATTAATTTAGTTCTTTATTACCCTTCTCTTTATGTACACGATTTCTCAGTTTAATTATCATGAGAAGAAATAAAAGATGAAAGTAACATAAAACTTTTACTAATGCACAAATGTTACACGATAACGGTCTGTAGCGAGATGTTCATTAACTCACTACTGTAAGCTCCGACTCAAAGGCAAGAAACATGCATTAATTTACAGTCACGCAAGCTGACCTCAGTAGGTATACATATTCACAGTTCTAAACACTTAGAGAAAAATCGGGATGAGAAAGGAGTAGTTATGGTTTTACGACGAGAGACTGATATCGTTTTGTGTTTATCAGTAACCCAATCTCAAGCTAAGCGCAGTTTTAACGTCTAATCTCCATGCAAAGCCACCGCAATCCATTCTCCACACGTCGCAGGATAACGTGAGCGAACTTCTCTCCCTCCCACACGCGTACTGCACCACCCTCACCTTGCACGTGAACGAAGGATATGAAACCACTGCACCCTCCTTAATCACCAGCAACACTGGCCCGTGTCCCTCACCTTTCATCATCTTCCCGTACGCCTCGTTCGTCCATGTCACCCTCCCGCAACCGTCCGATATGAACCCTGGACACGTGTCTCTGCTCAACCTCACCCTCCGCTCCTCGTCCGTACTTCCCAGCCACTCGTCCTCCATCCACGTGTCCGTCACGCACTCCACTGTCACACACGAACACCACCCTCCCATCACCGCACCGTACGGTTCAACCTTAGTCAAGCTTCGATTCTCGAAACTCACCCACACGGGCATGTTCTTATTCGAGTAGTTGTTGTTTCGTATTTCCTTTGCTACCGGTGGAGTTAGATCCCTCGCCGGAGAATCCTTCCGATCGGGAGTCTCCGGCAGCAAGGGAAGAGTCACCGCCGGCTGCTTGTTCTTCTGCTTCAGCTCCGGCGAGGATGTGTTCTTCCTGCGGCGAGTCCTTCGTTTGGTGGTGTAGTTATTATCTGTTACGTACTTTCTCTTGGTGGTTCTGGTTTTGAGCAAGGCGTCGCTGCTCTCGGAGGAAGAAGCGTCGGAAGCGGTGGCTCCGGCGATGGGTTTGGGAGCGATGGGGCGAAACCTAAGCATTATTTTGTCCATTGTGGACACGTGGGATGCACCGGGTACATAGCGGGCGATGCAACAGCCTCCTCGACCATCCATTTGCACTCTGATTAAACTCACCGTTTTGGTTGCTTGCAAATGCTATTGCGATAATGGGCATGGAGTTAGGAGAAGTGTTGGTTTTATAGGAAGGGTGGAAGAGACACGTGTGAGAGAAGACACGTGTAGGAACAGTGAAGATGGAGCGGAGTTGGGAAGGGGATTGGTTAGGGATGGAAACGTGTCATGTGTTGGGAGCGGGAAAGTGAGGGGACGAATGGGAGAATGAGGAGTGCAGAGCGGTAGCGACAGAAAAGCGGCACGTAGACTGAGAGCTTCGGGCAATGTGAATGAGAAACTTTGACCGTTGGATATGAGGTTTGGGCTTGGATTTAGGAGGATTCCAGATCATGGTGACCACTGACCACCACGTGTCCACGTGTGTGAAGGGCAATGGCAGCGAGGTTGGAGCCAGAAAACGACACGAACGTGAGCTGAAGTTTCGTGACGTGAGACTACATTTTACCAAACTTCTTATTGCCTATTTAAAGCAGCGCCTAAAACCAGGGCAGGCTCAGTTTATAGTAAATTCTGTTTAGGCTACTCACCCTACACATGCTGCTTTCTTTGTAACCACTTTCGCAAACACTACCTCATTTGTAAATATCGAATAAAAAATACATGTTCTACCAAACACACACCATTCATATCATTACTCACACACTCACTCCATCTTAAATATAAAACCATATACTAAATTCTTAAATATATGATAAAATAATTTCAAATAAAATAAATATATTTGAAAAAATATTTATCTATTTAAATTAATGAAAATATAGAGTAAAAACTCTTTAAAATGATAATTTTATCTAATGTTTAATTTTTATATTCATTAAAATAGTATTTTCAATGTTAAATTCTATCTTCGAGTTATTATTTATTTTATAGTTATAATATCTTATAATTTTGTTCTTAAGACGTTTTAGCGAGTTAAACAAGCAAAATATTAATATAAAACTCATAAGTATATCAAAATATAGTCTTCCACTTATAAGGGGTAAGAGTAGAGTGAAACTTTATTCTCAGTCTCTAATATTTCATCTATGAACAAAAGTGTTATGACCTCATATTTATTATGATAACATCAGTAGGGTTAGTTCTTACGTCTTATATATTGTCCATTATGATTTTTTCTTAAAAAATATTTCAATAATTAAAAGAAAATTATATATATATATATATATATATAAATTATCTTTAAACTTTTTTTATATAAGCAAATAAAATCAATTAAGCTGAGTACAATTATACTCGAACTCAAAAACAGAGTACATTACAAAGCAGACAAAAGTAATTAAAAAACTCAAAATACATAAAAACACACTAAACAAAACATATCTAAGGATTATTATGTCAGTTTACAAGACTAAAAGACATTCTCATATCAGCCGAAGAGATCCACTTCCAAGAATGTAGACGAATAGAGTTAAGCAACTCCAACTGATCCACAACGCCTTGTTTAAATACCACACAGTTCCAATGCAACCAAATGGACTAGATGACCGCAACCCAAATGATAACAAAGTACTGGGATCGCTTTTTACTCCTCCCTTGACCATACCAAACAAGAAAAAAAGACACCAAAGAAGAAGGCATAACAAAATTAACATCAAGCCAGCAAAAAAATTCATCCACGTATTATATGTCACCGGACAAAACACAAAAAGATGCACCAGATCTTCTACAGATAAATCGCACATAGGGCACAAAGCAGAATTCAACTGCACTCCACGTCCCTGCAGAAGCACCCTGCAGGAAACAAAATTCAAGAAAAGCCGCCAAGAAAACACCAAGCATTTGATAGGTGCTTTACCTTTCCAAAGTTTGCACAACACCTCCTGGAGATTAACGTCAAGAGATGGAATATTAACTAGAAGAGTTGACAGCCAACCATAAGCCGACTTAACAGAATATAACCCTGAAGCATCAACCTGCCAACACCAGTGATCCTCGAGGTGAGGCCGCAACACAAATCCATCATGAATTTCCATCAAACTCGCTACCAATGGCAACTCAAATGAGAAGGGCAGACGGCGCCAAGGAATGTCCCAAACCCAATTATCTCTAGACCAATTATCATTCTGCATTACAACCGAAGAGGGATCAAGAGCAAAGGAATATAATTTGGGAAAAGCCTCCTTAAGCCTAAAGCCACCCAGCCACCTATCCTCCCAAAATCTCGTCGAAGTACCATCCCCCACAGCCCGTAATATCTTGTCATCTACCCATTGCCCTCCTACCTGTAACGTAGACACAAGGTCCCGCCACCAACTAGAAGCACGACGATTCACCAAACACACACTCAACAATGACGGGGCCAGGCCATACCGCGCCTGAAAAACCTGCGCCCAAAGATTTGTTGGATATGATAAGCAACGCCAGATCCATTTGTCAAGTAAAGCATAAATAAACACTTTCACATCCTTAATTCCAAGCCCACCAACTTCCTTCGGCCGACACACCAACTCCCATCGGACCCAAGGGATCTTAGACAAATCCTTAACCCCATTCCACAAAAAATTCCTTTGAATAGTGATAATATCCTTCACCACAGAGTTAGGGACTTTGAAGAAGGAGAGGAAGTGGATAGAAATAGAATTTAGTACCGAGTTAATAAGAGTGACCCGACCACCAATTGAAACATACCTATACTTCCAAGATGAGAGCTGACGTCGCATATTCTCCAACACAGGTTGTCAGGTAGCCCGCAATCTAGGATTCGCTTCAAGGGGCAGCCCCAAATATTTAACAGGTAGTTGACCCCTACGACAATGAAGAAAGTTTGCTGCTAGTTCCACAAAGTCATTGTCAGTATTCACTCCCACCACACAACTTTTATGGAAATTAATATACATGTCTGATATAAGTTCAAACCCTCTTAACAACGCCTTAATTGTCCACAAGTTACGTGCAGAAGTTTCCCCAATAATCAAGGTATCATCTGCAAACTGCAGGAGAGACACCACAAGCCCCACCACCCCAACTTGCAAACCAGTAAACAACCCCCCTCCAGCGCCCTATCCATCATCACTTGCAGTCCCTCAGTTACAATTAAGAATAAGAATGGGGTCAGCGGGTCCCCCTGTTTCAAGTCCCTCCCAATACTAACCTCCGAAATAGGACTACCATTTACCAGCGCCGACAAGCTACCTCGACACACACACCCCTCCATCCATCTAACCCACCTCTCATCAAAACCAAAGTCACGCAACATATGTAACAAATAGTCCCATTTAATCGAATCATATGCTTTCTCATAATCAATTTTAAGCACAAAGATACTTTTCTTATAACGTTTCGCAAAATCAACTGCCTCATTTGCAACTAAAAAACTATCAAGCATGCTACGACCTGGAACAAAAGTTGACTGCCGGTGCGAAATAATCAAGGGGAGCACACCACGCAATCGATTCGACAATATTTTGTACAGGCATCCAAGAAGAGAAATTGGCCAAAAATCAGACATATACTGAGGACAAGAGACTTTGGGAACCAGTGCCACAAAATAAGATAATAGAGCCTTAGGAACTGTAAAATTATTATAAAAGTCATCCAAAACTTCCAACACCTCAGTACTTATCAACCGCCAAAATTTCTTAACAAAGGCAAAATTAAACTCATCTGGGCCAGGACTTTTATCTCCATCAAACTCACCCAACATAGCACTTACCTCCTCCTCTGAAAATGGCGCCACAAGTGCCAAATTCTGCTAAGAAGAAATGCCTAATACACCCATAAAATCTAGCCTAGGCCTATGCCACAACCTGTGTGAAAAGTGATTAGAGAAATAATCCACCACCGCCCCTCGAATACCCTGGACATCCTCAACCGACCTCTCACCAACAGACAAAGCATATATTGGATTGCAGCGTCGTCGCCCTCGAAGACAAGCATGAAAGAACTTTGAATTCAAATCACCATACTTAGCACAATTCACCCTCGCCTTCTGGGCAGTCAAACACTGTTTCCTCCTCCGCGCACACCAAATCTCAGACAGGACCTCCTTTTGCCGTAATAACTCCACCAAACTTAGATCCTACACCTCATTCTTATCATCTAGAGCCTGCAACTCAACAGTCAGAGAAGAGATAGTCTTGTCAAGGTTACCAAAAACCTCAACATTCCACTTCTTCAATGCCTACTTAACATTACCCATACAGACCCGTACACATTGAGCTACCCAAGGTTTTTCAACAACACCTTCCCAAGCCTGACACACCACTGACCCCAATCCAGGATGATCCAACCAACAATGATTAAATCGAAACGGCTTCGGACCCCAATTAAGCGTCCTATAATTCAACACAAGCGGGCAATGGTCAGAGACATCCTGAGGAAGGACAGATATATAGCACTCACCCCAAGTGTTGAGCCATTTTTTCGATACCAACATCCTGTCCAGCTGACTCATCAGCAGCCCATCCCTCCGGAACCATGTAAACTGCTTTCCCACTAATGACAAATCTATCAGGCTCATCTCCGCAATGAAACTATTAAATTCAAGCATATCAGATACACTGCCCACACTCACCCCTCCCTTCCTCTTAGACTCCCGACACACAGAGTTAAAGTCACCAACTACACACCATAGAACGTCACCAAAGCCTCGAGTTGACATAACAAGATCAGCCCACAACTTTCTCTTTTCCACCAGGCGACATGGAGAGTATACGTTGACCACAATACACCGAACGCCTCCATTTCCCCAACTCAAACAGACACCTAAGTAACCCAGCCCAGAAAAAGAGAACTGTAAGGTACCTTGAGTCGAGTCTCAAATCGAAATAAGACAACTGTTACGCCCCTGAGAAGGACAACTCAGCCAATCAAACTCAGACGAACCCCAAAGCCGCTAGCAAAATTGGCGGTCACAACCCTCCAACTTCAACTCTTGTAACGCAATAAAATTCACACGTTCACATCTAATCAGCTCGGAAACACGACAACGTTTCACCTCCGACCTCAGACCCCTACAATTGAAAGAAGCTATCTTCATCGATCACCAGACTCTCCCCTCTTTTTCTCCACTAATTCTCTATCACGGATCTCCATAGCCATTAATTTCTCCCTCACTTCTGATACATTATCCTGTACCACAATCCCCACTGAACGAAACAATTCTATTACCTTATCTGCCACCACCTCATCCTTCGCACGTAAAGAGTCATCCTCTGAAGACACACCAATCTCATTATCCGACACGACATGATTCGGCGCCAACGATACAACCTCATTCACCACTAATGTACCAATACAACTCTTTTGGCACCTGTGATTCCTACGACGAGCTTTCCTTAATGTGTGTCGCACATTGGATCGCATAACAGAAACTCCGATTTTGGCTGGAATGGAGACCACAGGAACACCAGTGTCATGTGTCACCCTCGATACTTCCTGACCATGCTCTGGCCAAAGCAATTGATCCAACCCGAACGGGTTACTACCAGACCCATTTACCTCTCCCACATGACACAGTAGCTCCTGTGTATTCACCCCCTTAGACTGTACACCATCCATACTCACCACCACACCACCT